TATATATATGATGTCATGCTGTCGATGATGATGATACACAATCACTGAGAAGTTGGACTGAAGAGGAACAACTTAAGTTTTGCGAAGCAAAAACAGCTCTACGTTTGCAATAAGAAACAACCAGAATAACGAGAAGTGCTTCGTCTTCAACTTGAATCCTACAGTGGCGGTGTCGATGCTCAAGATACTGGCAAAAAATTCAATTGTACAAATCTGTGGGAAAGCGGACAAAAACCTCACTTGTGTGCAGTGATAACCATCGGTACTAGCATCCGTCGGGAAATTTTCGTTGGCAGCAACAGCGCCAGCAGCTCCGTTTCCATCGGCATGCCGATTGGCCGCTGCTCCAGGTCGGTCATCCTCTGCCCCAGGATCGGGATCATTGTGACCGGCACCAGCGGCAACAGGAGCGACAACCATGGCTCCCGCGCGAGAATCACTCGCTGGTCTGCCAGCGTTGGGCTGTGTCGATCGACGGCTATGTAATGGAAAGGCATTCGCATCCAACCGTCTCCAAACTTTGATCGTGTCGTCCCTCAGTCCGCTGACTATTTTCTCCTTGTCGTACTGTAAACAGTACACACCCTTGGTCACATCACTCCGACATGGAATGCGTGTGAGGTGATAATTGCCTCGTGCCCAGTTGTCCTCGACGCGCTGTGGGACGAAAAACCGACACCAAATAAGGCCAGAATAAAAAAGAAACACGAACAACTTGATATGACAACTCACTAGGAAACAGGAAAGGATAATATAATAATGACAATAATAATAAAATCGTTCAAGTGTGACACTTCGGGAAATGCTACCCGAAAAAAACACGAGGGCCGCGATACTGCCAGGTTCTCCAAGCTCAGACAGGAGCAGTTGAGGTGCCAAGGTTGGGTTCGAAACAAGGACCTTCTGGGTATCACGTTCGTGCCCTAGCCACTGAACTATTTCGAACTGAATGGATACCATGGCTGCGCACGTGTGAGTAACGTGAGACAAAAGGGTCATACAGTGAGGATGAGACCCGGGTATTCCAATATACGACCACAGAATGAAAGGGGTCAAGCAGCTGTTTTGTTATGCTTAGGCATCTGGGCTTGGTGTGTTCGTATGTTCTCAACTACAGGGTGAAGTAGTGAAAATACTGTGACTGGTCCAAAAGTAAGCCATTCTCAAGAAGTGGGCAAGGGTTCCAGTGCCAGTCGTTACTGTGCTACAGACGGTACCTCCGCACCCTCAAAAACAGGCGATGTTGATCTGTCTTGGTGGTGGCGTCGGGCCTGGCAAGACAACACTGAGCAATGGCGCGCTGTTTTATGGAGCAGAAATGGAAGAATGTAAAGTGGAAAAACCAATCAGTATGAGAGGGAAAATTCCGAGTTCCCCAAGACTTATGCTCCGGTCTATCAGTATCGACCGAATAGATTGGTCATTTGGAAAGGTGAATGCCGGGTGCATACATCAAGATGTTGCAGCAAAATAGAATTTCGATAGTTTAAGTACCAGCGTCTTAAAATCGCCCTGCTTTGTAATTTCGAAAATAAATACAACGAAAAAAGTGTAGGTTTCCAGTACAAACTCCACTATAACAGAATGGAGTCGAATGATCGGCGTTCGGCGAATGATAAATGAGACCCACCATTTACAAACATATCGAACTGTTCATCTGGCTTACCTCACACCTCACAATGATAGACGAGAGTGGCAATATGTCAGGAACACCCCATGATGCTATTTAGGCGAGATTTTGATGAGCATTTTCAGCTGTTTCCCCCAAGACATCTACAAGTCACTTTGATAAATTTCCGGCGGGCGGATGGATACCGTTTGGCTTACAGCTCCCTAATATTGCAACAAGGGGTGAGATGGCTCAGTGGTTAGAGCGCGAAATTACTGACCAGAAGGTCCATGGTGCGAATCCGACCTATGTATCTCGAATCCCCCTGTCTAGGCTTAGGTAACCTGGCAGTATCTCAGCCCTCCTGCTTCTTTTTGGTGGCATGGCAGCTTCTTTCTCGTTCAGTTGTAGCACCCTTTCGGTGCCTAACTGCCACGCCACATGAAGGAGGCACGGGGGCTGGGATACTGCCAGGTTGCCCAGGCCTAGAGAGGGGCATGGCAACTAGGCACCGAAAAGGGTGTAACAGCCGGACGATTATAACAAGGTAGTCACGAATTCTATTTGGGGTCATAGGACTGGGCATGCTTCCAATTCGAATTTAAATTGAAAGGATTAGTGACCGTAGTCAGCAGTAGACGCCCAAACCGACAACAATTCCGAACTACCGGGAAAATGAGAACTGTGCGAGTCCACACGAACTCATGTTCAACGCCACTTATCATTGGACTGCATCTCTCGAAACCTTAGGTCCGTGAAGAACCTCTAAATTCACCAGGGTTAAAAACACTTCCATTTCGACGAACCAAGGCCAAAACAAAGAATGGAAAATAATACAAATAAAGCACCTGCACGAAAGATATGTTTCAATAGAGGATTATCGGTTTGATGTGACTTTTCCTTTTAGAGCAACGAGAAAATTTGCATCCTTGAAGACTTAATGAGACAGATGCAAACGCATACATAATTTGCACATGTAAACGTCAGAATAATTACAGTGACCACTAACTACCACGGGTAGACGAGAGTTCAGGGTTTAAACAATGAGATACACTAACTGCAACCACTCATTATTTCGGACTTCGCGGAGGTCGTGAAGGCTTGAACCGTTGTGAATCCAGAACTCCTAAGTAGGTGCTACTCTACAGTACGATTGAGGGATTGCCCGTCAAAGTGTTAGTCATACTCAGCAGAAGCAGTGAAAAAGCAAGAAATACTCACCACCGTTTGATCACGCTGATATTCCCGTAAACTTCCGGTTTTATTTCCGATCGAAAGTGCCATTCAATTAACAAAAACCTTCGATTTCATTCACTGGGAGTGCCACTAAGGTGAACAACAAGGCTTGGCCTGTAAATATGTAGCTGTATGTATGTACCCATCCGAATGCAAGCTTCTCCAAAATCCGCGGAGTGGTGTGCTGGGTCTTACGTGTTTGTATATTCCTATTAGCATGCACTAGGGATAATAGTCCGAAATGAAAAACCCAACCAACAAGGCTAGGTACCTCCAGCACACAGTATTCATATAAGACATTGCCTTTCGACAATGAAAATGCCCCAACAAAACTATTTGACGTAACAAAAAGTGCATAGCCGTAAAACTCATATCTTCATCAAAATTGTGAAACAGATAAAAAACGAGCTTTGCTGTTAACGGAGCCTTTAGGTACTAGTATTTACACTTTCTTGGTTGCATGTCAGCTGTTTGGTCGTCTTAGTTCGTTAAAGACACTCTGATCCGGAAAGTATTCCAGAGGAAATAGAGCTGGATAAACCGTGAAGTAACAGCCAACAGTATTTTTCATTTGACGTACACTTTTTCTGAACCCAAGATTTGAATAAAGATCATTTTGGTGAACCCATAGCCTAGCCGTCTAAATAAGTTGGAATAGCTTGCAAGTCAGTCTTTGTCAGTGTCAGCTCCAGGACGAACTACCGTCATTCATCCATGCTTCCACTTATATCAGAAGCGACGGAACGCATTTTCAAGACGATGTTGTGTACGGAACCGCAACTTAGCTAGTAGAATAAAAATGACTCATCTAAATGGAACGGGAATGGACTTCTCGATAGTTTCTCTATAAGTCGCACCAGGCTGCCCACCTAAATACGTGAGGACGGAAGCATGTGATGTGGAATGCCGGATCTGGCTGGTACCAGAACGATGTGCCTAGGACTTGAGAAAGCAGCATCTCAACGTAGAATTATCATTGGTTCGGTTTATCAGGGTGCACTGCTTAACAGGGATCCATGTGACAAATTCAGAGTTACAAGATACACTCACCTGAGCGACACATCGTGAAGCATTTTATTATCATCGACAACATTACATCAGTGTCCGACGTTGATGTAACACTGCCATTTTAACCAAAAACGATACATTTGTGCGTTGATATTGTGGTACTTTATCGCTCCATTCGATGTCATTAGTCCGTATTGTAAGTCCACCCAACTTCGGAGGTCGGTAAATCGGTCCGGGTTAGTGCTAGCTACAAGAGATTTCCATGTTACGCAGGGGCATTTTGGACCAGTCTCAACTGAGTTAGTACGAAGCCGGATATAGCAACACAACAGAAAGTTAGTGAATTGAATTATTGCCCACTAACCTTGATCTCTCTGATGACACGCGGATAGAGCTGTTTGTAAAACCGGTGAGCAAACATTATCGTCTCAGCTGAGGCACAATCGTTTCGGTCTGCGTCGAGCGTGAATGAATTGCCATGAGATCGCTGGGGTGTGTCATGGCAACCCGCAGAGCGCACAGTGGCAGCAGTCGCTAGTGCGACCTCAACGGTCTGTTCACGTCCCGTTACGAGGCTTAATGGAGTCAAACGGGTTTGGGCCAACGCGTAGTCGCCACATAGTATAGTTGGCCTACCAAGGGTGGCGGTACTGCATTGACAGATCGCATTGGGACAGGGCGATTTGGATTCGTCTCCCGTGTGTGACTTCGCGTCCCCATTGCAAGCATTATTTGATGTGGAGTCCGAGAGTAAGGGGAATTCGGGTTTGTGCCGTGAACCTGCTGCAATCCGCCGTTGTTCCAAGGCGACGGGTAAGTGGGTGGCATCGCTCAGATGGATTAGTTCCAACCAACCGCGGCGTTCGGCAAGACCATACCACACCGGGTCAGATGCCACACGACGAGCAATCAAACGCCGCCACAACTGATACTTGGCAACACTCCACTGCCACCCTCGAGAGACCATCTCCACAGACAGTAATGTCGAGGCGTCTAGTTGAGACAAGATGTGTTCCGCGATGTGAGATACTCCATGCGCTGACGGGGTGTAAAGTGAAGAGAGTTAGTCATAACACAGCCAGCTAGAAAGAAACCATAGAAAGGATAATCATGGACAGTGTGTCCTCTAGAAAGACCTTCCCTACGCGAGGTCACTAGAAGGGATTTTCGAACACTTCACTCTGCTAACCCCGGGAGACCCCTTTTACGCCACATAACCCACCCAACGACGACCAAAAACCTGGAGTGCTTGTTTGCTTTCGGTGCGAATTCTCCAATTCCTTTAAATCTGTAAGATGATTCTGTACCACATGTATGTAACTTGATACCGCGAATGAACAAACTGAAGGTAGAAGCAGCTACGACGAGCACACATTCATAAAAAGCATTGGCTTAAATTCCACCTGCATATACTTTTTTCCCCACATATCAGTCTTCGTATGTACTTGGTACAAACTGTGAGCTATCAGTTTATTTCACATGGCTGATCTATTTATTACCATAACTGATTCACCAACGACTGTGGGGTAACACAGGGGTGAGTGAGTTTTGAGGGACACAATGAAGGGTTAACTGTCCGGTCATATCAAATCAAGGCAGCGAGATGAGGCGGCAGAACAGTGGTGTTATGCAACGAAGCAGCCAAACTAACTTCGTGGTCAATGATTTCACCACACATACAGGGTACCTGGATTAAGAATGAAGAGGTTTCAAATAATTTGACATCCGATTCACGGTGGCTAAAGTGATAAAATGTCTCAATGGTTCTTTAGAACATGCAAAAAGTATACGGCGGTATCAGTCTCGACGACTAAAAGAAGTACGACTGACTTTTCGGGAGTTTGGGCAGTATATTCGTTATTGTATTTGTAGCCAAATGAAATAACACGACTGATCGCTCTTCGTGCTTTCAATCCGCCAGTGAGTGCTAAGAAGACCATTTATTGACTGGTGGTGTTCACAAGGCTGATAACAGTTAAACACCAATTCCCGGGATGTATCCGCTTAGGACCAGGTAAGAGCCCAATACGATCCGTAGTGATAAACTAACCTACTATATAAGAACCGTCTATACACAGGCGAATTACGGGTAGTGCTGGAAACCCACTCCCCACCCTCCCTGGAGAAACTGCGTTTGGTCGGATGGGCACTGGAGGATAGGAGCCTTGGAACAATACCATCAAGTATGCATCCCCTGTGAATGAAAAAGACATGTTATATGTATGACTCCCGGGCTGTACAGGGTTGTGCCTGACTATTCCAACTTTCGGAATGTCTGCACCTAATTACCGTATCCAGCGCAGTAGTCAATGGCGCGGCTTATATGTATGTATATATTATATAATATAGGATGTGGGCCAACCTCACGTAGCCTCTCCCTTCCCCTCCCCCGCTGTTGAGCCACGCCACTGATTACTAGGCCGGATACGGCCGACCTCCAAGGCAGCTGAAGAGCCAAAATTTTAAGCAGCAAAGTGCCACACTTGTACCAACAGCCAACCGAGACGTGTTTTGTCAGACCTCTATTCATTGATCACTCAGGTAGGAGAGTGTGGACGTTGCATAGGCATCCTAGCATAGCTTATTGGGTAAGAGGTTCGAAAATTGTCGCGAGACGAGGTCCATTCTCTTGGCGGCGGGCTCTCAGCAATAGTGACTTTGCTACGCTAAAATTCCAAAAAGACTAGCTGCTAGAGGAAAAAGGTAGTTCGAAAGTGACCAAATTAGGATACGATGACAGTGCGGTGTAGTATAATGCTATTCACGCAGTATATTCCACTTAGTTTTTTTTATTCAGACCTTCTCTGGGCTTTTTCAATGATCCTTCTTAATTAAGCCATTCATAAACTTGCCATGGTTTTCTGACGACAAAGTGCCGGCAAATACCAATGGTGCATGCTACCTATTAGGGTACGGAATGGACACTAGGGAAATGGAATGCAAAAAAGCAGCATAGACCTTGCAAATAGTAGCATTCAGGCATTTAGTTATCGAGAAGTAGCACTGAGGATTAATGTTCCGCGGTAACTCACGGCACCCGGGACGGAGTACGGAATAACTAGTCTATTTTGCACTCCATAGACGCGCTCTACGAATTCGTAGTCGCCTCGGGGGGCATGCCTTGGTGATACCCGATTCTCCCACCACACCGCGTGATGCTAAAATTACTCTGTGCAGATTGGTAACAGTATGCGACCTGTGGTCTCCAGACCTGCATGATGCGATTGATTGGTGAAGACACAATTTCAAGTCTTTTACGATGCCTGCCTTCATACCACCCTTCTTAACATTCCGGAACAATACCCGTTACAACAAACACACCCTATCTGACAAGCAAAATCGTATCAGTCCAACTTTCGGCATCTGACTGGATATGCGCCCAACAAAACTAGTTTAGTTTCATTTCCACATCACTTTCGCTTGAAAAGTCTCCCTCCTGATCTGGGTCCAGTATTCTAGTGAGTTCACACCAAAGAGGAGGGAGTACCGGACTGGAATTTCTCGCTTTTTTCAGCCTATCGGCGGTGTATATTTCTGACCGCGCCGAGAGTTGAACAGGCGAGGTGAGCACGCTACGATTACGCCACCAGCGTGCGCTAGAAGGGCCTGAGCTATCACGTCCAAACGGGTGAACCTGTTCAAAGTTGAGTGACCCGACTGGTTCCGACTGGCCCGACACCTCGGACGATGACCCAGTAACTGTCTTGGTTATGTCGGTCTACTGATCTGCTTATCACAACTTCCTAGTCAATCAAGCTTGAAACTTGCTTGAAAATTTTTCATTGGTTTTAGGTCGTTGGCGGGTTCGTGAGTTACATTTTCCCATCAATTAGTGTGGTGTAATCACTGGGCGTATTCAAGTCCCAAGCGCTTTGTCATTCTCAAATTGTCGTCAAGAACGTCCCCCGTCAAAGTACATGAAAAGGTCATGAAAACTCACTTCGGAAGGACACAATGAAATCCCTTTTCAAAAGTGGCTCTAGCAGGTTGTTCACTTGACTCTGCTGGAAGTGAGACATTCTTGACAAGATATTGCAGAGGAAGTCCACTTGCTCATGGCTCGACCATGTGTCAAACATTTCGATACACGCCTTCTTCTCCAGCGAGACACAGGCGCCGGAGTTTTGTAGGCGCTTTTTCTTCTGATCGACAGACATGCAGTCGGGGAATATGTTTGCCCGTTTCACATTAGAAATATGAGTGGAATGTACCTGGCAACAGAACAGTGAAAACAAACATATGGATAATGATTGTCGTCCAAGCTATCGAAATAGAAGGCAGCGAAGCGTGAGTTGCTGTGGCTGCGCCATATAGCACAGAATGAAAAAGATACCGACAGACTGGAAACTTAGGTACGCAATCGACAGCATTGTGAAACAGTCCATTGTTTGTCTCTTGAAACTCAACTACTATGCTTCAACTGCACACTGACATGAAATTAGTACTTATGTAACATGCAATCATATCTTGGAACGAATCACGTAGGACAATGAAAAATATTAAGGATATTGAAGAAGTCTGCTAGTATCCAATGTTTTGAAGGTTAAGGATGAAATCGATGCAACACAGAATAAGCGCACAGGTTGGAAATGGACTCGTAAATGCTTAGATGGCACGGGAAAACGACGTCAGCCCGGAACATCAGTCCTTCATTACCGTAGCAGATACGATAGCTTTTTCCTCCCCTTTTCTGCCTGTTGTGCTTCAAATCTATATACCGATACCCATAGCTATTCGCTAGTGCTAAACATCAGCACACAACTGTTACTTGTGGGAAACCGCCCTAGAATGGGGCGGGAAAGAGGGAAGTGGTAGGGAAAACGATCAAAGAAGCGAAGAAGCGAAACGAAGCGTTCAGCTGTAGCACCCTTCCAGTGCCTAGCTGCCATGCCACCCGAAGGAAGCACGAAGGCTGGGATACTGCCAGGTTGCCCAACCCTAGACAGGGGAAGTCGAGTGGCGGAGGTCGGATTCGAACCACGGACCTCCCGGTCAGTAAATTCGCGCTCTAACCACTTGGGCCATCTCGCCCCAAGGATAGGGTGCATGTATTATTGAGAAGGTTGAAGAAGACTATTGAGCCGCGCACATCAACATCTTGAAAATCATTCCAATTAAAACATGGGGTATCTTTTGTTCAGCACACTCAGGGGAAGATTATTATAAGTCACAGATGCCCTTGAGACCTCGCTGACACCAGATTAACTTGCAAATTGGTGTTTCAGTCCTCAATAGTTTGAACCTTTAAATAGCATCAAAGTAAGCACATTTAGGATTGACTCAGTATCATCTGGGAACCCCAACTAACACAAACCCAATATACGGCAACAAACGTAAGCTAAGCACTCTTACTAAGAAATGACAGTATGATTGCCATACATGTGCAGGAATTCTTGGGCGGGTTCCTACAAGGAAGGGGCCACAGGAAGGCTTCGTTACAAACTGCTGACAGAGGGATACACCCGCTACAATTGACAGAACGGTGCTGGAGAACACCAGGATAACCTAGATCTGGCGGCCCTCTTCACAGAGGTAAGGTCACCCATTAAGCTCGACCTCAACGGCAGCCTAATATACGCGATCCGTAAAAATGATATGCTATTTTGAAGAGTCACCATCATCATCATCGACAGCAGGACATCAGTGTTCAACACCGATGCTTCACTGCCGTACAACCATGACTTATTTGAAAGCCTTATTGTAAAGAAAAGAATAAGGGTGGATGGGGGAGGGACTTAGTGC